TTCTTTTCCAACTTTCACATTTTTTTTAAGGTCCTCCACATATATCCCTAAACTTAATTCTGATGATTCATCAAAATCCGAAGAACCAGTTATTCCTGATAACACGGAATGTGATTTTGTTTCAAAGTCAGCTAACAAGAAACCATTCTCGGAATTCTCCGAATCACTCTTTTGGGCCAATTCTGTATTCCTTACGCATGCGCGAAGAATATCACGAGAAAGACGTGCCATTTCATTATCGTTTGGCTTTTATAACAACATATTTTAAATTATATTACGAATAAAATAAACAAACATATGTAGTAAATTGGTAACCTACTTGAACATTAACATCCAAGACACGAACACTATGGTTCATTTTAATTGATACAGCTAAAGCCAAAACTCCTGCAATGTCAATATCTGGATTTGACGTCAAATCCAAATGAACCAATGAATTTGTTTCTGGAAGATATTCAGCAATAGCTATCGCACCTATTAAAATAAAATAAAAATTAACTCAATTATTTTGATTTAAAATTTAAATAAATTCAATAAATATTAATAAAACCTTCGGATGATAAATTTATATTAGATAAAAATAATCCTTTAAGTGTGGTATTTAATGATAAGCCATTTCGAATTGCGATAATCTAATAAAATCATATAATTAAGAAAAATTAAATTTCTAAATAATTTTAGCTTTTTAGCTTAAATACTTACACCTTCAGATGAAGGACCACCGACAGGGTTCTTACTTATATTAAGTAATTCCAAAGTATGATTATATTTCTAAAAAAAAAAATATATATATATAAAAAAAAATATAATTATAAATATTAAATGAATTTCTCAATGTAAAATCCCAATATTTGATTTTTGACGTACCAAACCATCCGCCAAAATAGCCAATCCTTTAGGATCTATGCGATTTTCTTGCATATGCAATTCTTTCAGGCTTCGATTACGACGTAAAGCCTGTGCAATATACTGAATACCACTCTTTTTTATAAAAAAACAAAGGATAATTTAATACTATTTTAAATAATAAATAAAATTTACTAATTTACAACGCAATAAAGAAATAGCAACTCTTAAATCGTTTCCAGTAATGTTTAACACTTCTATGCCGCGCTTTCGACTTCGCAACTTTTCGGCTCTAGCTTCTTCTTGTTCATTAAAAGGCGGCATTGAAGGACTAAGTTGTGCATTGTTAGTGCCAAAATTCAAATCTTCATAATCTCGCAACATTACTCCAATCCATACCGCACCAACATGATTGATACGATTAAAGCGAAGTGATAAATTACGCAAATTAGAACGACGTATACCAGGACCTGTAAGAAAATAATCAAATAATAAATAAAAGAACAATTAACTCAAGAAAAAAAAAAAAGGACGAACCCAAAACTTCTAACACATTATTTTTTAATCCGCAATTATCCAAGTTCAAAGTCTCTAATACAGCTCCGGATTTATTATTTCCTTGTATCAGTGCCTGCGCCAAAAATGTAGCAGACTTCTTATCTATATTAATACCGGAAAGGTCAAGATATGCCAAAGTCAAAGACTAAAAAAAAAAAATTTATCAAATTAAAAAAAATTTTTTTCCCCAAAGAAATAAATTTCGGGAGTTTACCTTTTTGATATAAACAGCTATGTAATTGAAACCATTCGTTCTAAGCCTCTTATTGTTACTTAAATTAAGGTACGGAAGTGAATCATTCACAAGTAAACTATGACATATAATTTTCATTGTCTAAGAATAATTATTAGTAAGACAAGACAGAATTTTTTTAATCTAATCAAAAAAAAAAAGTTCAACCATACATCTTCTTCAATCTCGCATCTTTCCATTATTAGCTTTTGTAAACCAAATTCAAGAGTGAGAATGTCCGCTATAGGTTCGGCAATCTTTTTGTCAATAATGTCACCAGTTAAGTCAATGGCATTTAATGAACCTCCTGGCTGGCATGCTTTCTAATTGTATAAAAATTTTGAACGTCTATTTTAAATATTACAGGAATGTCTTAAAGATAAAATATTTACATACTTTAAAGATATCAACTAAACGGTCAGCGGGGAATTCCTCTCTGTTTCTACAAGCAGCCAAATAAAATTTCATCATATCTCTAGGTGTATAAACTCTTTTTTGTTCTGCTTCAGGTAATGTTTGACTTGTCTTTTTCTGTTTTTCATTCCATTCCCGAAAATCATATTCATCTTCCCAATCACTATTATCACTCTCACCAGGGATCGGTGAGTGTGGATACTCATCTGTCAACTTTGCTACAGAAAAACGGACTCTCTTAAGTGCTTTAGGAGTAAGGAGATTAGTATTCGATGATAGAGAGGAGTTTTGTGAATTGTATTGAGAAATTTGATCTGCAGGAGTTGTAGGATTTACATGAGGTGGCTGTTTTTGGTTCTGCTGAGGCATTTGTTGTAGTTCCTCCTGTTGGGTGATATACGAAAATGTGGTAGGTGAATTCAATCGTTTTAACGCGCTAGAGAAGAATGAGGCAGTTGTATTGGGAGCTTCCGTAGTTGAGGCGGAATTTGCTGCATTTTGTAGACGGATATTAAGTGTGGATAACCAATCACGTTTCCAAAGTGAGCGTGTATTTGGTGGTGGTGGTGGTTTCAAAATTCCTTTCTTTGGTGGTGTAGCATTAGCCGTAGAAATTGGACGACGATAAGGGGTTAGTTTTATCTTTAATGCAGGATTCGATTCTACATTCTTTGAATAAAAATTTTCGGTGGAATGTTTAATAGGTACTAAAAATCAGTCAAAAAAACAAAAAAAAGTT